TATAGGAAAAATCTTTAAAAATCTTCTTCTCAAGAACCACTGGGCCTGGAGAGATGAAACTCATGTGGAATCATCCTCAGGTAGTGTAGATTCAAGTTTGTTCAAATCATGACCCCTGGGGCTAGGGTGGGGCTAAAATGGCCGACCAAAATTTTACATAGGGATATGTAGGGAAACCTTTTAAAATCTTCTTTTCAAGTACTTCAAAGCTATGATTTGTGATATTTATATGGAATCATCCTCAGGTAGTGTAGATTCTAGTTTGTTCAAATGATGAATGCCTGGAGGGGGGTGGTGGAGTAAATTCAAGCCTGATGTGCTCAGGTGAGCGCTGTGGCCCCTGGGCCTCTTGTTTATATACCCGGGATTGGTCAAAACCGGACACATTCACCCGGGACGAGCCTTTTATTTCCGGAATACTTATCAGAGGATGTTAGCTATCACTTACGTGACATTGCCCAGCCCAAACCACGCGGAGGTATCCTCATGGATATTGATGGAAATAGAACAATATGAACACGAACTCTGAAATTTAATTAACTAAAACTCCCAGCTAATATCTGTATACCAAGCTTGCTGTGCAGATATTATCATATTTACTGAATCTTAATTAGTCTTAATGAATCTTCCAAGCCAGATGTGCTGACATTACACTGGTTATTAATTTCAAATTAATACCTCAACACCAAGCTAATTGTGCAGAACAAAATTTGTGAATGACATATAATTAAAATATAATTTGATTGTAGTTTGATTTGCATATTTTAATTAATTTTTTCCAATTTATTTCCAAGATGTATCGGTCAAGGACTGAAAAAAAATCTACATTCTTTCTCTGGCAAACCGGAATTATTAAGTTTGTCCCGGGCAAACGCGTCCGGTTTTGACCTGTCCCGGGTCTACAAAAAATGACAAAAACCCTTATAATCGACATTTAATTTCATAATGATTGAATAATTTTAACTAATTGAAGGTAATAAACAACCAATAAATGCAAATATCACATACATTTTCAATGCATTAAGCTTAAAATCGCCGAAATGAGTAAACCGGGCTCGCTACCCATTTTAGTCACCTGGAAAAGGACAATCGGCGATAATCATTGAATAACACATTTTGAGTTAAAATGCTCAGCGAAGGCAAAACTTATAGTTATAAACTATGTCTGTAAATTTCATGAAGAAAGAATGAGTATTTATTTCGTAATTATCAAAATCCCGGTTTTCAGTTTCGAAATTCCCGGCCCGGCCCGGCCCGGGTTTCGCTACCCATTTTAGTCACACTCTTATCAGGTATCATACATATTCATATATTCATACCTGGCGGAAGTACATTATAATACATTCACTCACAGCGATAAATGCGTGTATATATCGACATTTTATAAATGTTATAGATTTAGGTAAATGCTACACACAAATTATTGCTTACCGTAAATATTTTCACGGTCATATAATCTAAAAACTCGCCTGTACGGCGTGTACGCCCTCTCTAGGTCTAAAGTTCAACGATTAGGCCTAAGGTTCACCATTGAAGTTGTTTCGAAATAACGACGAACGACAACTCTTGATACATTATAAGTCTCCTCGAAGTGAAATAACAAAAAGGAATATGCCTTGCGTGTGCATGATACTACAGGCACGTAGCAACAGGGGGGCCAGGGGGGGGGGGGGGGGGGGGGGGGCCCCCCCCCCCCCACTTTTTTGGTTTACTATTGAAAATGTTCATTGAAAGGCTGGTTGCCCCCCCCCCCCCCACTTTATACTAAAGTAAAGTAACATGAAGGAAATATAGTATTGTAAGGTTAAAAAAAATGGATATTGAAAGGAATTGGTAGTGAAAAAAGTTTGCCCTTTACCCCCCCCCCCCCCTCCCCCCGCCACCTCCCCACGAAATAGGATTTTGGCTTTGGGCAATTTTTTTTTTTTTTTTTGCTTGTCAAATTTTTCAGATAAGTAAAAAAAAATTTTTATCTGGCTGGCCCCCCCCACTTTCAAAATCGATGCTACGTGCCTGTACTAGTAATGAAAACTAGTCTGAATTATTGTTATATTATTATCATTGAGTCAAATGCTGACTGACGTTTTTCATACTAATTCTTAGGCCATTAGTTACATTCTGAATTGTCGACAGATTTTTCCGTTAACTTTAATTTTAGAGATCTAACTACGAAAGCCTATTAGGATCAATCTAGAGAGAGAAAAAAATTAAAAGGCGTTATAACGCCTTTCGAAAAGGCGTAATAACGCGAAAAAAAGGCATTATGACGCCTTTCCATTCCAAAAGGCATTATTACGCCTTTTTAAAAGGCGTTATAACGCCTTTCTAACAGGCGTTATTACGCCTTTCCATTCTAAAAGGCGTTATTACGCCTTTCCAAAAGGCGTTATTACACCTATCTAAAAAGGCGTTATTACGCCTTTTTAAAAGGCGTTATTATGCCTTTCCAAAAGGCGTTATTACGCCTTTCCAAAAGGCGTTATTACGTCTTTTATTTTCAATATATGACTAAACATATTTAGCCCAAGCGAGTGGTGGTGGTGGTGGTGGGGGGGGGGGGGGTGTGTTGCAGAAATCTTACCTTTGGGACATGAATTTTACAATTTGATATAGAACTAATTTCTCAAAAAATAATTTAAACAGATAGCAAATAGTCTGCCTGCTTTTTTCCAAGAAGAGAGAAAAATATCTTCAAATGACATGAATTTTAATACATGGGAAGCAACGCTCCAAGATAAATCTGCCTACTAATATATCGTATCTTCACAAGTAGAGTGTTGCATTCTCTTAATACGAATGCAAACAGTTGTCAGTGAGATGTGCAGGAATACAGAGAATTGCTTAAATAAAGATTGTTTTAATTAAATCTTTCATATATTTATTAACACAAAAATAACGCCTTTCCATTTTCCTTTTCAAGTAGGCCAGTAGTACGAGTGCAAATGGGGTAACTCCCCCCCCCCTCCACACATACACAACTTTGGGGGAAAAGTCTTGATACAGTTTAAATATTATAATTAACTGTTGGTTGCTTGGTTCCTGAACATTTTGTTGCAGTGTGTAAAACTGTGGCAAATTATTGTATTTAAACAAAGTTTTACCGAGAAGTCACCCAGGAGTTTGGCCAGTAGAGTGGGGGTGGTGGTGGTTGGGGGAGGCTTTAGAAGCACAGGCCTGTTAGATACCAAATAATAGTTATTAAAAAAGCCTAATAACCCTTTTGGAAAGGCATAATAACGCCTTTTAGAATGGCGTTAAAAAGCTTTTTGGAAAGGCATAATATCGCCTTTTAGAAAGGCGTTATAACGCTTTTTAAAAAGGCGTAATAACGCCTTTTGGAAAGACGTTATAACACCTTTTGGAAAGGCGTAATAATGCCTTTTTGAATGGAAAGGCGTAATAACGCCTTTTGGAAAGGCATAATAAAGCCTTTTAGAAAGGCGTAATAACGCCTTTTGGGAAGGCGTAATAACGCCTTTTAGAAAGGCGTAATAACGCCTTTTTGAATGGAAAGCCGTAATAACCATTGTCATGGGTCATTTACAACATTGTTTTGTTAAATAATCCTGATTGTAAACACAAGTACAGTACCCTGAAGTGGATATCGAAAAAAAATGTTTTGAGTTTCTGATTGACAAAACGCTTTAAATACATGTATGTAGTTTTAGAGAACAGTTCTTCCAACAATCTGTCGGAATTCTCATGGCTCGTTATTAGTAACGCTATTTGCAAAACAATTTTTGTATAAATTTGAAGCCGAATTAATTTTTTAAAAAGTTAAAAAACATGAGAAGAACAAAACGCTTCAACTCGACATTTAGATCTCAGGCACCTGACTTACTTATTTTTCTTTTAATAAACAAAATATACCCCCATCTAATTATTAGGTAGATGGTATATATATTTTTTTTATTTTAAAAGAACAATAAGTAACGCCAGGTGCCTGTGAGTTAGATACCCCCGGTATATTGACAACTAGTTACTTTCATTCATACTCCGATTCGATATATCGGTCTCCCAGAGAGCTTGAAATAAAAGATACCACAGAGTCTGATTCATCTGTTTCATATTTGGACATTTTACTAGAAGAAGACCTTAATGGTAACAAAGCTTTATGATAAACGTGATTATTTCAACTTTCCAATCGTCAACTTATGTAACAATATACCTTTATCACCTGTATGCATACGGGGTTATATCCCCTAGTTGATTTGATAGGCAAAAGCATTCCCTACGTATAAATATTTTCTAAAACAAGGCAAGTAATTGACCAACAAGTTGATAAAACAAGATAATCAACAATCTCGTTTAAAGTAATCTGTGGTCGATACAAAGACCTTGCTAGCAAATACAATCTATCATTACGTCAAATGCTGACTGACGTTTTTCATATCGATTTGTTGGGGCATTATAAAAACATTAAATTTTCTGCGTTTTTCTCTTATTCCCGAACATGACAAGGAGCACATGGCGGGTTGACCTGTTGGTAGGGGATGCTCACTCCTCCATGACACCTGATCCCACCTCTGATGTTTTAGAGACCCGTGTTTGCTTTGCTTCTGATTTTGTTTAAATGGATTTTTGAGCTCCATTACCGCTCGTTATCTAAAAAATTCCACACCTTTACCTGAAAATGATTTTTAGAAAAAATACGAACTCAGTATTTGAAAAAGTATGAACTAAATTGTCCAAGGTTATGGTGTTCTATAGAAGAAAAGAAAACTGTGTTTATAAGGATGTACAAGAAAAATATGTATATTTATAGAAAACAGAAAGATGCAATAATTTATTATCTACATCTACTTCCGTACTTTGACTAAATATATATTTTTTTTTTGCGAAATAGATAAATTATTCAGTAATGAGGTTTTTGTTATAAATCAACTAAGCTCACTGCTACACAAAAATTCAATTAAGGAAATATTTTACACTTCATATCAACTAATCACTATGTTACCGCAATAGTAAATTAAGATTTTTCTTTTCCATATTTCCATATTCCAGTTTTCCTTGTTGTACGTCAAACTCTTTAATTCAACTTCCTTTCCAATAATGTTTGTCCTTTAAAACATTAACTCAGTGGAATTAGTTATTTAAGGTATTTTGTAGAATAGAGCTTTCCAGATCTGGTACCGAACCACAATTGATTTTGTTTATCAACAGCTGTTGAAATAATATCTTCAGATGTACCAGTAGCTATTTCATGCATGTAATCCAAATTTGAATTTATGATGAAGAGGGAAGCGTTTGATGCCATGATAACGTTCCCAAATCTGTCCACTGAGGCACTCGCAGAGTATAAGGTTATGTTTGCTTTGTTCATCTTTCTTGATGAAATGTGATCAGCTTCCAAAGGCATAAAACCGTCAGAGTTTATGCGAATGGCAACTATTTGACCATTTAGAGAAATAATCTGATTTATATTTCCTGACGGCTGTTGTGTGTGATAAACGCATTCAACTTCTCCATTCATATTAAGTTTGATAATAAAATAATTGTTATCTTTTGCAGCAACAACGTATATTCTCTCATCTTGACACAAAATTCCACAAAGATGTGAAGCGTACGAAGAAAGATCAGCAAGAGCTTTGACATCTCCTTCTCTTGATATAAAACTTATAGTAGGTTTGGCATTGACACCATATCCCTCTGTTACAAGAATATCACCAGAGGGTGTGCAACAATTGAATACGGGTTTGAAGTCTAATTCAAAAGTTCTGATCACCTCACCTGTTGTACTTCGAAGCTGTACAGTATTTTTCAAATGGTTCACCCATACTAGATTGTCTTCAGATACACTGATTCCATGTATGTTGGCTTCCATTTGATCTAATGTATGGTGCTTTTTTACCGTAATTTTATTTAAAAACAAGTTGGAAAAAGATTTTGCATCTGATACAGTATTTTGTACTTTCTGAACGTACTTTCTGATACGTTTATTTTTCGGCAAAGTTTGATTGATCGTCTTTGCTTTTGACTTTTTAAAGCTTTCAGCTTTAGAATTCAGGCGACTTTTTGATCTTGATTGTTCTTCCTTCTTTGAAATTGGTTTTCTATTATGGGCCGAACCTCTTACTATTGATTTCGTGGTCTTTTTCTGCGTACTTTGGGTTTTAAATTTTTCAGACAGATTTCTACGTTGAACGTCTCTCTTTTTATCCCCGGTTTTCTTTAATCCTAACCTCTGTTTAGAATAAGACTGCTTGTTTACATTTCCTTTCTCTTCTTTGGTGTGGTAAATTGAAGACCGAAGCACTCGCTTAGCAATCTTCGTTTTAAATCCTACATCAGAACGGACACATTCTTTCGATTTTTTCCCGCGTTTTCTTTTCAATGACTCCTTTGCACTGACATCCTGAAGCAGTGCCTCTTGATCCTTTCCTTGACCTACATCTTTAGGATGACGTTTACGTTTTCCAGCTGATGACGTGACCTTTATTTCAGTTCTTTGATCACTATGGTCTGTCTGGACCCGTCTCCGTTTGGCGTTTTGGACTTCTGTCGAATTAACATCTGAAAAAAAAAACACCCAACATTTTCTATCACTGTTAAATATGTAGAGATAAAAGAAATTTACAATTAAACAAAGATATTCAATTAAATTTTTTTTGCGTTAAAAAAATCAATATATTAATTTAAATGTGTATTTATATGCTTTACTTTTGGCAACCTTCTGAAATCTGTTGAATGCTAATTAAACTTACAAGAATTGATATTGTTAAATGACAAAATGTTGAAAAATAGTAAAGCACTTAAGCTAGCCTTGAATAATACATATAACGCTTTTTAAAAAGAGTTTTCAATTATCAATTGTGAATACATAGAAAACAAATTGAACTTTTACTCAAGACGACTTTATATAATATAAAAGAAATTTCTAGGCAAAACATTAGATTCTTTATGCATCCACAACAGAATTAAGTAGTTGACTATTCAATGATAATGATTTGTTTGACATACCTTTTCCACATTCATACTTTCGTTTCCGGAGGCTATAGGTTTTCCTGGGTTCCGTCTCTTTGCCTACAGACTTGTCTCTGAAAGCAGCTTTATTTTGTCTTTGACGTTTCTTCATTCTATTTATCTACAAATCACACATACATGTACTTTACATGGATCAAAATGTTTCTCATTCAGACATTGACAAGCATTAATTTCCTTAGTCAAGATATATTATAGTAATGAAAATTAATGTTATGGTTACTGACATATGATATATTTTACATTTACAGTCTTCTTTATTTTGGAAGAACATCGTTAGTACATGTAAGTAGAATTTATCAAAATTTTCTTCAGTTACACTTCTGTGATGTCTTTAAATAGTATTGAATTCATTCTTATTAAGAACATATTTCTATTATAAGTAACAGTGTTTTTTAAACCAAAAATTTTGTATAACCTATTTTGTGTTACACGTTAATATATGTATGTCTCATAATTTTGTATTTCTTATGTTAATGTGTTATTTATCATACCGATTTATGTAACGCATTTTTGCATTCCCTATGTTTATGTGTTATTTGTCATAGATTTATGTCACAAATTTTTGCATTTCCTATTTTTTGTGAGTTTCATATCATAAATGTATGTCACATTCCTTAAAGGATGCCAATCTGCTTGACTTTATGTAGTACCGTCAAAGCTGCATTGCAGCATGCAAGTTTATCAAACAATACAGTATAAAGTAATTATATACAGGTTTTAAATGTTGAAAACAATACATCGGTACCAATTAAATTCAATGTATGGATATGTTTAGAAATGACAAATCCAATGCAAAAAGTACATTAAATGGCATAATAGATTTGGATATTTAAAACCTGTACATTGAATGCTGGACGTGGTACGTACATTATGAATGTTGACAAAATATATCAACAGCAATTAGATTTTAATCGACAGAAAAAGATTATTTCCAATGAAATGTACAATTATGCAATGCAGGTAACTTAATATACAGGTTTTAAATGTTGAAAACAATACATAATTAAAATAGGCAATTAAATTTTTAATTTAATGCACAATATCCAAATTTGGTACAAATATTTTAACAAATATTCAAACAATTGTATAAAAAATGGAATGTACCTTCATATATTAAAATCTTTGGAAATGACAAATCCAATGCAAAAAAGATTTTTACAAGTGTAAATCCTGAATAAATGGAACTGAAACGAAATAAAATTTACATGTTTAAATTTTTGTTGTATTAATTAAAATGAAATCAGGTTACAAATTTTAACTTTTCATACACTTGCAAAAAATCATCTGAATCCTTTACATTCAGCTTCTTCTATTAAAAAATCCCATGTAAAGAAACATTATTCCATGTGTTAGAAATCTGTAATTTAAATAATTTGAAAACAATAACAATCTTATTCAAGCTATATTTGTATAAACTAGGTGTTAATTGTTGTGGATATGTGTTTTGAATGGAGAAGACACTACAGAATGTGTTTGAAATTAAAAAAAAACATACTTTTTGTCAACGTTCTTGTTGACGTTAAATTTTAACCGAATTGGTAACAAAACATGTTGCTTTAAATTTTGGCTAACATTAGTTCTATTTAATCAAAATTTCGACAAAAAAAATATATATTTTGTATTGATCTATAATCTTGTAATAATCATATGACGAGGAGAAGCATTGTCTACGTATTTTTTGAATGAATTTCATGAATTAAATGTTACCTCAAACGTCATAAAAGGGGGTCGCCGTTGTTGTTCTCAAAGAATGTTTCGTATCACAGTGTCCCTTAAATCCTGATTGTTAACAAAAATTTGCGATAGTTTTTGTCAAATCTTGAATACCAACTTCAGAATCTGCAAACCTACAAGCTTCTGCTTGTGTCTACCTACTATAGAGTATTTACCACCCTTTGGCCCGTATTTTGGAGAAATATGTATTACTTTCTCCATCCGATGAGGACATCCTCACTCATGAAGCTGGGAAGTGGTCAGAAATCAAGTGAGCTATCATTTAAATCTAAATTTTCCTGGCACTGTCCATTAAGTTAAACAATACAGCTATTGTTTTCACCCCCACTCTCTGGACAATCAAGTGTGTTGCGTAATCATAGCAAATACATAACCATCACCTGGGACAGTTTATTAAGTTATCAATAGACAAAATGTTTTAAGTAGGATAAAGTCCTCAAACTGTCCATTCTGTAAGAGAAAAAACTATTCTCAGCCCTTCGGGCCTCGAACAGTTCTTTCTCTCACAGAATGGACAGTTTTTGGACTTTCTCCTTTACATAAACATTAGGATCCAATATCCTGGGAAATAAACATACACAAAATGGTTACAACATAAGTCGTGACTTCAGCTAGTATATTATATAACATCTAATTTTGAAAAATGAACGATTAGATTCTTGCAAAAGTTGCTGATTAAGTTAAACCTTATTAGTGTTTTGCAAGTTAAATCGTCATTTAATTAGTAAAAATTACCTGACAGTGTTCGGTCTTTCAACGTCTTTAGCATGAATATACATGTTCATCAAACGCCCTGATTTAACAATGAACGATAACTCGGGATCGAAACATAGGCACTCAGAACGTTTAATTTGTGTACTGAGTATTTAAAGTTCATTCTTTAAAATGAAAAATAGCTAAGATAAGCATTTTTTAAAGATGTTATATTTCTGTATAAAGCAATATGACATCTTTTAATAATTCTCATTTTTTATTGCATATTTATACAGAAAAATATACAGTCAACACATTAAATACTCAATCCAGAAACCAAACCTTTTTGGATAAAAATTGTGTGCATTAATTCTTATTTTGAAATTTTGCTGAAGGATCAATTGCAAAATCTCTCTCTCTCTCTCTCTCGTATAGTATTTTGGTAGATGAAATGATTTACTGAATTTTTTATATAGAGAAATCTATCAATCCATCAATCATTCATGTATAGAAAAAATATGCCACATACATATATACGGAATAATAAACTGAATATTCATATGAATTGAAAAGAAAATGAATAATTAATGTTCTCCATATCATGATGATGGAAAACATCATATATCAAAAACATTAATGTTCATACAGCATTTAAGTTTTCAAAAATGTATAGCATAATTTTTCTTATAAATACCCATCGGTACTTTTAGATTGGTATTTATAAGAAAGTCCCCATAGTCAAATTTCGTTTTTACATGCGTTTTTGCTTGTAGCGTAAAATGAACGAGTTTAATCGGTGCTTTTAGATTAAACTCGTTCAATTTAATTATGTTACAAGCAAAAAAAGCTTGAAAACACAAAATTTGGCCAAGTCACTGCAAGTGATCATGGGACAAGACTAGACTTTCTTGAACAAATGTAATATTTTTCTTGACATTATATATTACTACTGATAAATGAAATTTTGGTAACTATACATGTATGCAATACTTTTTTCAAGTCAATTGATTATTAAGCAGTCCATTGAATTTTTCACGTAATATTGTATTTATTTGTAGATGGCCATGTACATGAAACCAGAAAGTAATACATGTATAGGACAAAAATCAAATGCATCTCCTGAATACGTCGTGCGTTGGAGAGGAGGAAAGATGTACTTTATAAACTTAAAATACCCAGACAAGCACAATGATATGAACATAATTAGGAATTATTCATATTATGTTCTGTCGGATTTATTTTTCTTAATCATTATGTGATTTGTAATGAGATTATTTGATAGATATAAAAAAGAATAAATTTATGAGGTCAATGAATTGAAACCTGTATGTTATAGAATTATAGAATCTTAACTTTTGTTCGCGGGATATCAAGTTATAGAATTTACTATTTGTACTACTCTTTCACACAGTACAAAAGAATCCCTGTTTATTGAAAACTGAAAAGTTGAAGTATTGTATGTAAAAATTGGTTAGCCATGCGCGCTGTGATGTGGGGAACTGTTAATTTTAAAGGGGTATAGCGTAATTATATAATCAATGCAAACGTGAAATAAAATTTAAATCACATTCGATCAGTAAGGAGAAAAACACTTTATATGCGGTTTTATCATTTCGACACTTACGAAGAAGGTTTGGTTCCAGAAATCGTCAATACAAAATGAGGAAACAAAAGTGATATTTCATATTGAGGTAGGAAAAAATAATTATATATTACTTACTTTTGCTTGAAAAATGATGTGACGAAATATGATGATTTTTTTTCATATTTTCCCATTCGTATTTTACTTACTATGATAGTTTTTTAAAAACATGAAAAAGACATCAATTTTGAATAATTTTAAGTTTAATTATCAAAAGAACTTGTTAATGTTAAGAAAATGTTTTTTATGTAAGCATTGATGCATTTAAGATAAATTTGTTTGTTATGTAAATTTTTATTGGATCATTTAAACTATGCTGTTAAAAACACTTTATTCAAATATGCACATGCTAAAAAGATCAAATATTTGGAAAATATACTTCTTGTAAATTTTCCAAATATTTATTCTTTTTCATACTGTATTTTGTGGTAAAAAAGGGTACGTATATTTGTTTTCTTTTTAAAATTGAAATTAAAATTAACTTTTTCATAAGTGGAAATTGAATTTTAAAACATTCTTGAATAAAGAAAGAGGGTATGGTATGTGCGTGGTATTTTATTCAGATAAATCATAAAGTTATAATAAATAGATTGATATTTTCAATTTTCCGTTATTTACATAAAGTTATTATACAGGTTTTAATAATTTTATTCATTTTAAATAAAAATATTTAAAAATCTATGTCCATATGAACCTAATGAAATGATTAAGTTTAAAGTTGTTTATTAATTTGACATTACACAATAATAAATTTACTTAAAAAATATTGCTTTTAATTTTCAGATTTAAAGATGTCAAACAAGATCGGTGACCCAAACTTTTCTAATAATAAGAAACTCAACAAGATAAACTTTGTAACACCGTTCACCAAATCCTACCACCTAAACCATAAATGGGATCTTAAAAATGGTTACACCGTGCGGCCTCAAGAATCCTACTTAAAAAAAGACAACTTCTTGTACATAGACGATGATGTCAGTGAATATGATGACGAGGAACCTACAAAATCGTCAGACGGAAGGACGACGGACGATTTAGGTACATGTGTCACAGCTATCGGCATCATATGTGTCATTTTCCTGCCGGTTTGTGCTATTTTAGTCGCCGTTGGAGCGTCCACGCCGTATTGGTATGACACGGCGGGAACACACAGTATGGGCTTGTTTCAGAGGTGCGACCTGTCGACGTCAACATGTGAATACATTGATACCTATCTCTCAACCGCATCTTCATATAGTAAGTATTAAAAAAAGTTGTTGCTATTCTTTTCCAAAGCATTCAACGAATAATGTTAATGTACATGTTGGACTGTTTGATATTTGAGAAAGAAATTTTGGACATTAAACCGATCGGCAGGGGATGCTCACTCCTCCATGGCACCTGATCTACCTTTGATATTTCGGAGGTCCGGTTTGCTCCGCTCCTATTTTATAACGTTAAATGGACTTTCGAGCTCGAATACTGTTCATTATAGATCTGCAAAATATTTCAATAGTACTTTAATTTTATTAAACCAGTATCATTATATAGTGGGTACAATCTCCTATGGATATATAGTATATATAGTAAAATATTTTTTCAACGAAGAGAAACTCAAAAGATAACTAAAACCATTTAATATTTTGCAGTGGATTTTACTTGGAAATTAGTGACAGGTTTGGAACTATCAGGGGCCTGTCTTTTGTTGCTGGCTTCTCTATTTTCCTGCTGTTATCTGGCGTGTAAAGAAATTGACTTTTCCAAAACCAGCTATGGTATTCTCATCTCCATTATAATCATGCTAGGAGGTTAGTTTTCTATGTAAAGAAATATTGTTTATTCCTATTTTGCAAGGAAATGAAGTAATTTTCTTTTCGGAAAACGTACAAGTAGAATAGTAAGAAAGAAAGACTGTTGAAAGTATAACTTTGAAGTTACTATCACTAAATATTAAGAAAGGACAAGAGGTGCAGACAGTATAAAACTAATAAATATATTAAAGCATATCAATTTATATTTTCAGCGGGGTGTGCAGTTAGTGGCACAGTTTTGATGACGTCATATTACATCACCAATCTACAGACGTGGACATTGGATTGGTCATTTTACACAGCTGCTGTGGGGTCGGGCATTTCATTCCTTGTTTTCTGTCTCTATATTTTATATGTGTTTTTATTAACTTTTGCTGATTAAAATATTTACAACATTAGCGTGTTTTGATATCAAATGCTGTTCCTTCATGTTGTCATTTGCAACCATCACGCAGGTTGCTAATGAAATGAAGAATTCTTAAAAATGAAAAGTGCTTGCTATGACAAGATATAAATTTTAGTATACGAGTAAATCTATATGAAGAACAGAAAATACTATTTATATGTACGAAGTGCAAATCATCACGAAAGCTTTGTAGAAACACCTATTCCGTTACTGTCTTAAATCTATACACGGGAAATAAGGAACACAACACTTTTCTTTATAAATTTCTGAATTTAAAATCGTCAAACTAAAAAAAAATCGTTTTAAAGTAATTGAATGAATTATCTAGTTACCGGAATGTCAAAAAATCTTAAAGTGGACCAAAGTAACATGTTACGATTTCAGCACGTCTGTAGTGGTCTGAATTGAGGACAAATTCCTTGCTCCAAGCTTAATAAAGATATACATGTAATTAAGTCCACAGATAGGTGGTCTGGCGGTGTGCAGATTTAATGATACAGTCCTTGGCAGAAAGGAAACTTACGTTTTTTAATGATTCAAGGTTTTATTCATTATTAAATAAATGTATCAATTCCAAACCCAACATGACAGACCGATGTAAAGGTTTAATATCTTTCATGTTTTATCTGCGCTGGCAATCAAAATTAAAGTCTATGTATATTTCTAAAAGGTACTCTAGTGTTCTTACCTTTTAGAAACGGCAAAATGAAATAGGAATAGAAAAAGGGATTCAAATACGTTTGAGCGATAAAGTCTTACCAATTTAAAAAAAAAAATCACTGCATTTACATATTATACTAGTATAATTATGTTCCCCAAACGAAGTTGGGGAACATATTGTTTTTACTCTGTTTCTTATTATTATTATTTTTCTTCTTCCTGGGTACTTTTTTGTCCGGGAGTGATCTTGTAAACTACACATCCGACTTAGGTAAAATCTTTTAGGGTCAGTAGGCATGTTATGTAGATTTGCGGAACGAAGGTCATTTTGCGCGCACGTGCTTGCAAGAGCGTGCACGTGCAATACGTGAAATGACCGATTTAATTGATATTGCCGTAACTTTTCACATTTTTGATGAAATGCTTTGAAACTCATAATATAAGGATATATTAGTAGCATAGACAATATGACATGGTCAAAATAGCAAGATCTCACGCGCATGCACGTGCGCTTCGCTATGATTGGCTGAAACTAAAGTCTCAATATCTTTCTTGTTTATTGACGAAATCCTTTGAAATTTTTATCATAGTCATGCATTTGGATATCCTACAACAAGATATATAGCAATTGTCATGAAAACACGTGCATGCACGTGCGCTGCAATTTGATTGGCTTAAACTTTAAATAGCTATAACTCCCTTGATTTTCAACCAAACAGGATGGGGTTTGGAACAAAGATAGATATAATGGACCTCTACAAGACGGTATGGTCACCATGCACATGCATACACGTGCATGTACATGTGCTGCAATCTCATTGGCTGAAACTTTAAACAGCTATAACTCCCTTGGTTTTCAACCAAACGGGTGGGATTTAGAACATAGATAGATGCAATGGACTTCTATAAGAAGAAGTGGTCACCATGCTGATGTATGCACGTGCGTGCACGTAAAATGAGTAAAATCAAAATACACTTGAATTAGCGTATTTTTTAATACTTTTGGATTAAATACTTTAATATTTAGTATATTTAAATATATAGATTGTTAAAACAAGATGATATGGTCATTACGCACATGCATTCACATGCGCACGCGTGCAATGCTAAAATTTGAATGAACTTGGTACACTTCTGGGTAAACGTTGTTAAAGTCTCAAATACATAGAGTTTGTCTTATTTAATGAAGCTTACAGGGGATATGGCACCAAAAGGGAGTTGGGGAGCGTTTGGGGAACATCTGTAACGGTCCCCGTTACAATTAGCACTAGTTATTATTCTTATTCTTATTATTTTTCTTCCTGGGAAAATTTTGTCCGCGAGTGATCTTGTAAACTACACATCCGACTTAGGTGAAACCTTTTTAGGGTAAGAAGGCATGTTATGTAGATTTGCGGAATCAAGGTCATTTTGCGCGCACGTGCTTGCAAGAGCGCGCACGTGCAAAACTTCAAATGACCAATATATAATGGATATAACCGTAACTTCTCTATTTTGTGACGAAATGTTTTGAAACTTATAATGTAAGGATATATTAGTAGTATGCACAAGATGACATGGTCAAAATAGCAAGATCGCACGCGCATGCACGTGTGCTTCGCTCTGATTGGCTGAAACTAAAGTCTCAATATCTTTTTTGTTTTTTTATAAAATCATTTGAAATTTTGAACATAGTCATACATTAGGGAGATCTACAGCCTGTAATATAAGATTTTTCATGAAAGCATGTGCATGCACATGTGCTTGCAATAGCTCGCACGTGCAACACGAGAAATGTCCAATATAATTGATACAGACGTAACTATTAAAATTATTGATGAAATGCTTTGAAACTCATTTTATAAGTATATATTAGTAGTATGCACAAGATGACATGGTCAAAATAGCAAGATCGCACGCGCATGCACGTGTGCTTCGCTCTGATTGGCTGAAACTAAAGTCTCAATATCTTTCTTGTTTCTTGTCATAATCCTTTGAAATTTTGAACATAGACCTACATTATGAAGATCTACAGCATGATATATAAGAATTTTCATCAAAGCATGCGCATGACCGCGTCCTGAAATCTGATTGGCTGAAACTTTAAATGGCTATATCTACTTTGTTTTTTGACGAAATGCTTTGAAATTTAAAAATAGTCATGCATTAGGACATCCTACAATATGATATAGAAAAAAATAATGAAATCACGCGCATGCACGTGTGCTGCAATCTGATTGGCTTAAACTTTGAAATGGCTATAACTCCCTTGTTTTTCAACCAAACAGGATGGGATTTAGAATATAGATAGATGTAAGGGACTCCAACAAGAAGGTATGGTCATCATGCACGTGCACGCACGTGCGTGCATTTGGAGCGAGTGAAATGAAAAATACACTTGAAAGAGTGATTTTTCATACTTTTGGACTGAATGCTTTAATATATTGTATATAAAAATATGTAGATAGTGTAGACAAGATGATATGATCATAACGGACATGCATTCACATGCGCACGGGTGCAATGCTAAAATTTGAATATAATTGGTATCCTTCTGAGAAAACGTTGTTAAAGTAAAAATGCACAGAGTTTGTCTATTTAATGAAGCTTACAGGGAATATGGCACCAAAAAAGGAGTTGGGGAGCGTTTGGGGAACATCTGTAACGGTCCCCGTTACAATTAGCACTAGTTATGTTTGTGTTTCTTGTCCCGCCAATGTACCATTGTTTTCCCTAGCTAGAAGATGGAGAATCATATATGTTCGGTATTATGAAGGTCCATATAAGTTTTTGGATTTATCAGAGATAATTTGTGGGAACATCTGATTTTCATTAATTATACAATGATAAGAAATTTCACTTGACGATTCAGGATGATATGAAGAGACATATCATCCTCCATACACTATTTAGGAGAGGAAAAGGGGAGAAACAAATTTATTTCTTTCTAAGTTCGCATTTAGTAAAGCTTTTCTCATACGAAGAGTTCATTGTTGGTCTCAGTATTTATTCGTTAATTAACAATAAATGTTATTGAAGGGTTCAAACCATACAAGGGAACAAAACGAAATATAGTTGGTCATGTAAATGTGTATATAGGTATAAATGTTTCTGAGTAGAGATGCAATTTGTATGAAGAGAGGTTCCGGTAGGTAAAAATAAATATTTACACTGTTTAAGAGTACAGAATGGTATTATGACCGTTGTTAAAGCCCTTTGTAGTTTCGTTTGTTCTTTTGAGGACGAATTCGATCTCTATCATAAAAGATTTCTCTTATGATCTACATAGAGCATTGAGCGCTTCATCGCATCGCTGAATGCTAAAAGAAAGCCCCAAGAAAGAAATATAAATTGACGTAATGGTGAGATTTTCCCCTTTATTGAACATAATTGAATATTTTAGTGCCATTTAGGTAGAATTTTTAGGTACATTAAGACATTTGTTCATTTCCCGAAACATGGTAATGGTGACGCCAACAAATGATATATTCCATATTTGAGTCATGAAATAAATCAAGGATATAAGAAGGAAATATTGATAAATACAGACCAAGGAAAGTGATAATGTGACGTATGTTCTGTCATACCTGATCAAAGACTTTCAACGAATAAGCAGAAGTTGAATAAAAGTAACCAGTGTTTTCAAAGAGGACCATTGTGACGTCATAATGTTTGGAACCTATGACGTTCCACCTGGTGCACAGGTGCTTGGAATGTTATGTCCATTGTTTCTGACCATATCTTTAGTTTTGATTCTGGTTGGAATAGGACTACCATACTGGCTGATCTTCGGGGGAACCTCTTACGGAATTTTTCAGATTTGCACGTCATCAGTGACATCGTGTTCTTTTTCAGTTACAGAGCTCTCTTCTTCCCACCCAGACAGTAAGTTAAAGCAAAACCAAAATATTTATTAATATTTCATCTTTGATTTTCTTTTTAAGAATAAAGTCTTGATAGAAAACTCAAACTGTGTTTTATTTCCTTCTACAGGCGTGACGTTCTGGAACATCATGATCTCGTTGGCTGTGTTTGGGGGACTCTTTATGTTCCTTTCAGAAATCTTGATATTTATCTATCCTTGTAAAAAAGTGATAAGCCACAGTAAACTTGGTATCGGGGCCGTGGCTTGCTTCTTTTGCATTGTGGGAGGTGAGAAAACGCTTTAAACACCAAACTTCTGACTTTGTAAATTTAAAATAAAGAGATAAAAATATCGTGACATGAAAATATACACATACATGTAACGTCAAGTACTTGTGGATCAGGGAACTTGAATTTGAAAGAGGACGATATTCATTACTTTTGGAGATGGGAAGGTTTAAACAAAAAAAAAGAGTTTTAAAAAATTAATGACAAACATTTGATTTTTTTTCAGCGACATTAATCTTGGCAGTGGTTGGTTTAATGATTGGTGCAGCGAGTGTTTCCGTCACTGACGTCACTCACGTTTCCTTGGCAACCACAGACTATCTTGGCTGGTGTTTATACGTCTCTGGTTCCGGGGCAATCCTTGCTTTGTTTACAGGGATATTGTTTGCAATTCATTTATTCCTGGCTTGTTATTACTGAGAGGAAAAGGTCGTGAAGATGAAAATAAGAGAGTTTAATGCGTCTACCCTCACTTTAACCAGGTAGCACCTATGGACTGATACAACCTTGTTTGAGCAATAATTTATTGCTCTTTATATTAATCCTTTTTGATGTTTTATTCATGCAAGCATGTGCCAAATATTTATTGTGCTTTTTATTTTCATATTTAAATTCTTTGTACTTGAAAGCTGAATATGTCTGTAAGTTGTGTGCTTTTAAATAAAAGTCAACATTCACTACAAATGAATTCAGCATGACAGTTTTATTTTTGTTGTCAATGTAATGGCAAATTATTGTTATGCATCATATAACATTGCTTTTAAAGAGTTGTGATTACTCAATGCAATTAAATTCTGCATGTCATTGCTGTAATTTCAATAGTATTTTTTATTCATTATTTGGAATTGCTGTGGAAAATGATTTCAAAATGAAGAGCATGAATGTCTTCCAATCTCTGCATTCCATGGATTTTTTTTCTCTCTAATTTACACAGGGGTAATCAGTTCAAGATTCAGAGGATGGATATTATGGAGTGTTCACAAACAAAGTCTAGAAATGCATACATTATTCAACAGATTCAAGTTCATTTTGTACATTAAAGAAAATCATCTTAGATCTCATTTGCAAGAAATGCCCCCTGCTGTCACCAGAAACGGTTGTGTATTTAAGCTGTTTTGTCAAATTGTAACAGAGAGATTTTATTGCATTTTAAAAGTGTTGCTTTTTCACATCTATTTCTATATCTGCTAACCTTTTAAATATACATCCTGTTACTTTAAATAAAGGTACTGAAAAAAATCATTAATTTAATCCTACATTCAATACATGTATAAGGAAGAGAAATCAACAAGCTGAATTATTATTCTAGAACCTTTTTTTCCTTTTCAATACATATACCTCTATTCAATACATTTTAACTTTTAATTTTTTTTAACAAAGAGACAATTAAAACAAACACACACTAAGGATAAAACTGAAGCTTTTTTTAAGTAAGCACTGGAACTTACAATAACATTAGATGGCTGCATGAGATCACACTAGATTCTTGTTTGTCTACACAAAAAGAATGCCATAAATGAGCCTCCACTAAGAAAATCATTTTTTTTTATATCCATGGATGAATTCATACATCAAAAGATGAACATGTCACAAGTTTTGATCTTGGCACAGTTTCAATGATGATAAAATGATAGGGAAATGTTTAGGTTGATGTAGATGAAATTTGGTAGGTAGAGCTGTCAGCGTTTAGGTATTTTAGCTGGCGGTGGCATCAGGTCTTTATTTTGCTGTGGTCGGGGAGGAGGATTATAACGTTCATGTTCAGCCACATGAAATAAGATCTCCTTGGTTACAGGTGAACGAATACTCTCCCACACACCTACCAAAATCAAAACAAGCCAGATGAATAGAAAGATAAATGCTTTGATTCATAAAATATTGTTATTGCTGAATGCTGCTGCATGTATAAGTATTTATTTAATATCAAATTCAAACACTTGTGTTGCAATAAAAACTTATTTCCAGAGCTCAATTTCAATTTTTTTCAATTTTTTACATTAATAATAAAGTTAACATACAACATTAAGTTGGGATTTTTTTCAGAATTTGTGTTGGTAAGAAAACCAACAAAAATCTTGGCATTTCAGTTTCAAAACATTCCAAATTTAACCCTTATCATTTTAGTAACTCAAATTTGTGATCAGATTGCTTACAAGTAGATCTAACAATAAAAATTTTTGAAGTACAGGTAACATATCAATATTGCTGTTTATGCCGAGTCAGCAATATTTAAAATATTGATCAGCATAATCAATAAGCCAACCTTGAGCTGTGGCTATGCTGTTGGGGAATGATTTATCCGTTCTCTGCCTCATAAAGACCCAGTCCTTTCCATTGTAAGAACACTCTATAATTTTACCATCCAATTCCTTCAGCTCTTTTGTCACCTGTTTGAAGCAGTAATTAAATTTTAATCTCAGATACAGGTACAAATAACTCTGAATTTAAAACTGGACAAAATCCTTTTCCAGTGAGAAATGATGAGAAAAAAACATGGGCAAAGATAACCCTGTATATAGTATCATTTTTGCAAAATATGAGTTTTTGAAAGCACATTTATTTATCCATTTTTTTTTATCTGAGTTTCAGCCCTTACCTTCATCTGTGCCAATGGGGCTTGTTGATGTAACACATACAAGTAGCCCTTGGTGGTGGGTAACATTCTGTAAAAAGATGGAAATAACATAATGAGGACATGCATCACTGTCTCTGATGGTGTAAATCAGAGAAAGACCATAAATTTAATTCTACTCACCCCTCTCCACATTCCTTGACTATCTGAAGTTTAAAGTCAATGGAATTCATCTCTGGAGGTTTCCATTTCAGTACATTCATACATCTTCCAGGTTCATAAGGCTGAAGGAAAAGAAATACTCAAAGAATCTTATTTAAAAACTAGAACTGTCCAAACGGGACAAAATACCCCCCGCTGGGTTTTTCAGAAGTAAGTTTTTCCATAATAAAGATATGTATCAAACACGAATTATGAAATTTTTATTTCAGTGACTTGAACTTCCCCAAATAACCTTGGGTCAAGGTCATGACACACCCTTGGGTCATGGGCAATCTTTCAGTGAAATGAGAACCTACCAAGTTTATCCATTTAAAGATAACCGGATTGAATTAAAATTTTTATTTCAGTGACCTTGAACTTCCCCAAATAACCTTGGGTCAAGGTCATGACACATCCTTGGGTCATGGGCAATCTTTCAGTGAAATGAGAACCTACCAAGTTTATCCATAAGAAAGATAAGGACCGGACTTGAATTATGAAATTTTTCTTCCAGTGACCTTGAACTTCCCCAGATGACCTTGGTCAAGGTCATGACACACCCTTAGGTCATGGGCAATCTTTATGTGAAATGAGAACCTACCAAGTTTATCCGTAAGAAAGATATGGACCGGACACGAATTATGAAATTTTTTCTATCAGTGACCTTGAACTTCTCCAAATGACCTTGGGTCAAGGTCATGACACACTCTTGGGTCATGGGCAATCTTTGTGTGAAATGAGAACCTACCAAGTTTATCCCTAAGAAAGATATGGACCGGACACGAATTATGATATTTTTCTTCCAGTGACCTTGAACTTCCCCAAATGACCTCAGGTCAAGGTCATGACACATCCTTGGGTCATGGGCAATCTTTGTTTGAAATGAGAACCTACCAAGTTTATCCATAAAAGATATGTATCAAACATGATTTATGAAAATTTTCTTCCAGTGACCTTGAACTTTCCCAAATGACCTTGGATAACAAGACACACCCTTGGGTCATGGGCAATCTTTGTGTGAAATGAGAACCTACCAAGTTTATCCATAAGAAAGATATGGAACACGAATTATGAAATTTTTCTTTCAGTGACCTTGAACTTCCCCAAATGACCTTGGGTCAAGGTCATGACACACCCTTAGGTCATGAGCAATCTTAGTGTGGAGTAGTAGATTCTAATGTCCCTCTGTAAGAAAGAAATGGACCGGACACGATTGCACAGACAGACGGACAGACGGACAAGGTGATTCCTATATACCCCCCCCCCAAACTTCATTTGCGGGGGGTATAACTATTTTAAAAATCTTCAATTTGTCCTTAAAAATGGGTATTTTATTTTTAGAGATAAAAAATTTTAGCGATTTTAAAATACTCACTAAAGAAGCTATTACAAATAGAACGCAATTACTTTTTAGCGACATTCAATTTTAGCGATCTCAACACCCTCGCTAATAATGCCAAATTTAAATCCTTGCTAAAAATTCTGCTTATGCGGTATTATTTCAGTGAATTACAATCTTCTTTGATTTCAAAAGGTGGTATATCTCATTTTTTTCCTTGCAACGTAAAGTCTTGTAAATTAGCAACTAAATGTCAATGAATTTTTAAGACAGTCAGATCTGATATTAATATCAGATTTGAAATTTAATCAGTAAGTAATGTTGAGAGTGGCTAGTGGGATTCTCTTACAATTTAAGCATATTTGTTAACAATGAAGATTGAAAACAGAGCTTATAGATGTGAGCAAAAGTCTGCTGTATTCTCCATTTGTACCCACTGATTCAAAAAGGCTTTCGTTTTTTTTTTTTAAATAATATGTATCTTAATATTTAGAAAATTTTTGTGCACATCTGTAATTAAGAAATATAACTTCTACTGATTCAGATATAGTTTTTGCTTGCAAACCCTATAGTTAAACATTGATACATGTACTTACATCTGGCACTGGTTGAAAAATAAGACCATCCACTTCATGACTCACTTGACTGGCAAAACTGCCATCTAAAATCTAAAATATTATAGTTGTTTTAAAATTGACACTATTTTCATCTTGCAATTATCCAATTTAACTCTCTTCTGAAAATTTTTTGTGAAAAAAAAAGTACTTATTCATATTTGTTGGAGGAACATAATAAATAGATAGGGTTTTTTTGTCATTTCTTTACCACAAAAAATTTGAGAAAAAGAAAGAAATTATCTGTGTTCACACTCAAGCCCTGTCCCAAATCATCACACAAACTCTCCCCCCAAAAGTACTCACTTTCCTACAGACGGAAACGTCCCAGAAAGGTTTGATCCTGACACTGAATGGTTCCTTGGTCTTGTCAAACAAGCCCTGTGTGATCGCGGCATGTCTAGCTCCTATAATCTCTTTCTCTATACAAACCAAGCGGGTGTTAAAGTCAACTTTACCCACCTCTTTTCCCTGTTAAAAAAAGGAATTTCCCCATCAACTAGGGTTTACATGTACAGGGTACTACAAAATTCTTACACTTGGAAAATAATTGTAGCCGTATTTAATGCATATGTACATGTACTTGTAAATAACTAACCTCAAACCTAACAATGTCGTATACCAGATACCGGGGGACTGTTTTGCCTTCTACCACATCTAGAATCATCTCCTGAAATAAATAAATATTGTTCAGAAGTGGAGGAACAAAAAATTAACTTTCTAAACTGCTTTGAATCTAGACTCTCATGTTATATACAAGTATTATAAGGAATAATATCTAAATGGGGTAAAGATTTGGATGGTTAATACTGAGCAAGTTTAATATTTTGCAAATTCAATATTCCTGTCCAAGCTTATTTATCTGTCAAAAACTTTTAATACATGTACATTAACCATTCAAGATACAGTTAACTTATAGATATATCAATACATGAGTATACATGTATATCAGACTGAGATTGTAATCAATTCATCTGATAAATATAAATTCCCTCAAAAGCTAAATCTGGAACAAGTAAGCAGACAATAGTACATGCAGTACTGTTTTGTTTAGAAACAAATATTACTCTATGGGGATGAATTCTTAAATGTTCCGTTTACCCCATCCAGCAGTGTGTCTCGTAGATGTGCACCGAGTTCTTTCCTCCGTCTGAAGTTCAGTCCAGGGATGTGAAATACCGTGTTATCTCGGTCAATCATGTAAACTTCATTTGGACCATCTACCAGTGTCATGTACCTTAAATAGAATTCATAAAAATGATTTTTATACCTGACAATGAGCAATAAATAGCTTATGTATTTCACAAATGTTAAACAAAATCTGTCAGAAATCACACTTGTAAGAAAGATTTATAATCAAATGGAAAGATTTTTTGGAAATACATAATATATTCTGTAATATATACATTTGTGGTATCTCTCCATTATATAAACATACAGAAAGAAAATATCTTCAATTCTGTATGAAGTTTGTCAGAGGTCAGAGGTCAATACGTGACCTAATCACACGGCGCAATAATATCTACCGGTACATAAATTATAAAATGACCTGCTCTACTTGCTTTTCGTGTATAAAAATGAATAAAATAAGCAAGTAAAATGATAATTATTTTATTTTAAATGTAAACAAGTATTTCATACAGTTTTTGGCTACCGATTCAACCTGTGTACATAGAGAAAACTAGGAGCCTAGCGTTTGTACATTTTTCTTCACTTTTGTCAGCTGCACAGTCTCTAACGTTCATCCTTATTTTTTGGATAGACCTTTGGTTAAATTTTCATGATAAACTTTTATTTTATCTTTAAATTTTACTCACGATAAATGTGTAAATCTGTTGGAAAATATCTTTGCAATGAACAGCTGGCAAACACCTCGGTGTTTTCGTAGTTCAATATAAAGCTGTCGCCAGTGTCTCCGTGTTCATCAGTGTTTTACGATAAGTATGCCTTTAGTTACTGAAACCGTGGAATATTTTTGATTAAATTGCAAATTAACTGGCTCGGACAAGTGTCTCAGTCCATCGGATCCATCCATCCCTTTCCAGCAACCGAAATTCCTCCAACTTTTTATCGTCAAACTTCGGACGTGTTTCTTGTGTCTTTTCAGCGTCGATTATCATTTTCACAAATAAAATATTCCCAGACAACAATCTGTTCACTATTACTGATCACAAGTAGCCTTTCACAAAATATTCCTTTCGAAATAGATTCCTTAGCCTAATGAATTTGAAGCGTAACCGCCATGCAAGCCGATTTACACCTTGCGTCATTTTTCAAAATCTACGACGGACGGTTAGTGCAATAATTTAAATTCGAAAATATTCAATTGTCTGTCTCAAATGTATATATAAGTAATAAATAACAAGTTTATTCGGTACGTGATCAAATCTTCTGAGAAGGTCTTCGGCCTTCACAGGATTTGATCACGTGACCGACCCACTTCAATTCCCATTGAAGTTTATAAACTTGTTATTTATTTCTTAAATAAATATGTAGGACTCCAGAGTGCGATGGTCACGCCAAAGTCCAATGGTCTGCGCCAAACCCCGATGGTTTGACATGCCAAACCCCGATGATGCTGAAAACAATTAACGTTTATGACGTCATAGTACTAAATCGTCAAACTAAAATGCAGCACCAAGCCAAGGTTTTAAATAAGTATTAATAATTATCATTATGCGAAAACTATAGCCCTTATATCTCAGATAGGTGCGAAACTAACCTTAATCACTCTAAAAGTGTGTAGGCCTAACAACTATAATAGATATCTAGATATCTTGTGATAGGACATACTGATAACACGACAATTTTGCAAGGACTAACCCTAAATCAAAACGACTTAAAAGGACTAACCCTAATCATTCGAATGGTGTGCAGGGATTAATCCTAATATCTCTGAAACATGTAAGCAATGTGCAAAAGAAATAAAAGATTTCTATGCAAAGATAAATTTGGAAATGATGGCATTTGAATGCAGGAAAACGCCGTCAAGGATCGACATCGAATTATTGTGACGTCATAAATGTCGATTTTTTTCTCCACACCATTGGACTTTGGCGTGTCAGACCATCGCACTTAGGTCAGCGTGTCTCAAAGGAAACTAGCCATCGGAATTTGGCGAAAGTACCGAAAACAAACCATCGGGGTTTGGCGCAGACCATGACTTTGGCATCACCATCAGACCTTGGCCTCTTACAAATATAAACAGAAAAACAAAAACTCTTATGCCACCTTTCTGCCGTTTTCAGACATTGAAACATTAGACAATGCCAGATTACCTCGTTCCGTCTGCCTTCCAGCTGACCTTGTACGGCTTCTGTTTCAGAAAATTCAGATTATTGATATCCATGGAAACAGGCTGAGAGCCTGGAAAGCCAGATCTAGGAAGAGAATTTTCATGACCATTCATAACTTTGAAAAAAATTATTTTGCTCCCAAAATTCATAAATATATTTTGCAAAGAAATTTACATTTTAATCGAATAAATGCAATTTTTAATTCATTGATTTGGTTCAGTTCCCCAATTTAGATTTCCAACTAATTTTTTTTCAACTTTCTTTCCATAAACCATTTATAAGGTAGTAAGATGCCATGAAACAAATCATACATGTATTTACAAAGACAAGAGTATTCACATGGATGTGAAATCTGTAAAATTCTTCTATCCATGCCGTATGAAATTGAATATGATCTTGTAATTGCCTTACTTTTTCCATTCACACATGTGCTGTACTTTCCTCTGAATTTCTGACAGTTTTGGTTGAAGTGTTAGTTGACTCACTCCCTTGACACCAGTCATAAACTTGGCATCCTACAACATAAGGATGTTTTGTCATAATATAAATTGCAAAAACTGATCAGCAAGGGATACCTTATTACTTATATTTACATTTGTGACTGATTTATTTAAAATAGTCAGGCACTGAAGTTTAAAATCCATAAGAGATTTACATTTTTTCAAAACTCAACGGTATAATTTGAATGCGTTGAGCACGTCGATCAATTATGACATCACTATGAATTTATGTAGATCGCTTATGACTAAACAATCAATTTATGGTCACATGACGAACGTGTTTTACCGAGATGTAAAAATGCCTTGTTCAAATAGTGTTATATAAGGGCAACCATTTGCAAATGTAAATATTTGTTATTAAGTTAATTTGTATACAATGTTACCAATGTGTTTTCACAATAATTTCACGTTCGACAGACCTTTTTATGAAACTCCTTTTTTCTGTTCTGCTGAGGTTCACCATTTGTGTGTGATAAAGATCTCCCATCATCATCTACTGTTTCTTCCTCTGTATTAAATTTTTTTAAACATAGGTAATCAGAGATTACAGAGCTCACCTCAATGTTGTCTTTAAGTACGGCAAAGTCACACAATTAACCAGCAAAAAGTGTACATCCAAAAATGCAAAATTTATGCAATTTTGATTTTATACTTTGGAATAGACCTATATAAAAACTTCAAACTAGTTCTCCATCATGAAAACGTAATTAAAATCCAGCATCTGAAGCAAGTTTGAGAGTTTTCATCCCTTGATGCATCATTTGTGCAAGTTTGGCTTATATAAGCCTTATAGTTTCTTGGTAATAGACCTGCATCCATAACTTTTACGAGGTGTCCATTATCTGGAAAATGTATGTCAAATTCAGCATCTGAAGCAAGTCCATTAGTGTGCATCCTAAGATGTACCATCCATGCAAGTTTGGTCATTATAGTGCTCATAGTAATGAGACCTGCATAAAAAACATAAACCTGTTCACTCATGCGGAAAATGTAGGTAAGATTCAGCATCCGAAGCAAGTCTGGTACTATGCATCCTAAGATGTACCATCCATGCAAGTTTGGTCATTATAGGGCTCATAGTAACTTGGAAATGAAACCTGCACCCAAAACTTTAACCTGTTCACTCAACCAGAAAATGTAGGTCAGATTCAGCATCAGAAGCAAGTCTGGTAGTATGCATCCTTAGATTTATTATCCATGCAAGTTTGGTCACTATAGTGCTCATAGTTACTTGGAAATGAGACCTGCACCAAAAACATAAACCTGTTCACTCATGCGAAAAATGTAGGTAAGATTCAGCATCTGAAGCAAGCCTGGGGCCCACTCGATTGGGAATAATTAAATTTTCACCTTATGTGTTTTTATACTGTATGCATTTACGAAATATAAATATTCCCTGCTAAATTCTTTGTTTCCATGGGTCCACTCGATTGGGACCCTTCTTATTCCAGAATTATAACCATTCTGTCTGCTCGATTGGTTTGGTAGGGTAGACATAGAAGGCCTTCTCAGCCTTCCACGTCAGAGATGGAAGGATAGCTGAAGGATAGCATTCTAATATGGCGTCAAGCAGTTTGGTGAAAACGGGGGATTTTTATTATTGTAAATAAACCTAACTTAAAACAAAATACAGTTGCAAAATGTATTTTTATCATGTATGAAGGGTACGTCTGTTAAGAAGCATTTTTTCTGTTATGTAATTGCAGTAAAATCAACCATTGAACACAGTTTCATAATATGGGGTGCAGATTTGAGCCATAAATAGGACCCTGATTTGACCATGATTGTTTTATTTTTTTTACATGCTCTTTAATATTCTTCTGTCTCAGACACTTGATGTTTTAAATCTTTCTTTAAATAAATAAAAAAAAAATTCCCAATACTACTATATTAAATTAATTTTTCCACTCTTAATTATCTCAAGTTTCCCTTTCGAACTAACATTTAACATGCTTTACAAAAACCGGATTCAAATTCTTGAAATTCAACAACTGCAGTAATTCAAAACATCGCAGATAATATTCCATCCTATTCAATATCCTTCTGAACACTTGATTTAGACATACATATTCCAACCCTTCCAACATTCCCCTTTGCTTCTAGAAGGGTCCCAATCGAGTGGGCCCCTGGTAGTGTGCATCCTAAGATGTACCATCCATGCAAGTTTGGTCAACATAGGGCTCATAGTTACTCGGAAATGAGACCTACACCAAAAACTGCACCAAAAAAGTTAACCTGCTCCAAAAACATTAACCTGGTTATTCCTTTGCTGAAATTGCAGCATCTGAAACTTTGACTGGTACAATGAAACACATAGAAACATCTTCCATGCATGTCTAATCAACATAGGACATAGAAGTACTTAAAAAGAAAACTGCTCCAAAAAACTTAACCTTAACCCGGGACGCCGACGCCGACACCGACGCCGACGCCGAGGGTATTACATAAGCTCCCCCAACTTCGTTGAGGTGAGCTAAAAAATGAACTGTTGTATTAATTAAGACAAAGCACATTTGTCTTTGGAACTTGCTGAAAAAATACCTATCATAAACAATTTTTCCAAATTCTTCAGTATAGTTTGTCAGTTATGTGATTATGCACACTCATCTTAACCCCCCCCCCCCCCTCCTTGTCCCCCAACTTACCATCACACCAGTCTGGCAGAGCTGGTGCTGGAAATGTGTTCTCTACCTCGTCATATCGCCGGAATAACTCTTGTAGATAATCCTGTTTGTAGATACCTGGAGGCCTTGCGCTGGCAAAACACTGGATAGCAGCCTCCACTCTGAAAAAATCAGACAAACTTTATCATCCGTTTATAATTTTTTTTCTTGATACATGGAAATCACAAGAACTGATGAAATACATGACATTCTTTCAAACTGAAACTCGAGAAGGGAGTGTAGCATCTTCAATTTATCAGATTCGGGGCTTTGTGGAATCTTTCAGTACCATAAAAATATTTCTTAACATTTAAAGATGTTTCTTTCCTAATCTCCGTCAATACGTGTCTTACCCCCAGGACAGCTGTTCCACAAGATATGATACAATAAGGAATCCTGTCCTGTTGAAGCCATGTGTACAGTGAACACCTACAAAACCACAAATTAAAATTAAAATTGCATGGTTAAGAAAGTACTGGGATATAAATAACTTGCAAAACTTCTGTAAATTTTTCAACACATTTAACCATGTGCCCCATTGGTCTGAGTGACTTAAGTAACCTAATGCCCTGCTCTCACACCCCTATCCAAGAAAAATTCAGTAAATAAAGGTAACAAAAAGCAATTATGACCATACCTATGATTTCCAAAGGTTTCTGACTGATAAACTTTGCACACAGCTGGATGAATGCTTGTGTCTGATCCTCTGAAGGAGTTTCGCCATGCCTATAATAGAAAAAAAAACTTGAACTTGATTCATTTGTACACAGTAATGCTCTACATAAAAGCAAAGTGCTCCAGTGTATTGCGAAAATAATACTTCAAAAATATACGAGTAGTTGGGAGAAAAAAAACCCCAAATCTTATTGTGTCCTACCCTCTGCACTGCAGTTTGACATATCTGCATTCATACTTTTCCTCTATCTCTTTACTGTTGTAAAATCTTGTGGTATTGGTCAGATCAACCAGCAATCCCATTTTTACCTACAAAAAACCATGGAATGCATGAAAATTATTCAATCAAACTTTAAAAACTACATATAACTGCTTATCTTTTGAAACAAAATCTTTATGAATATCCTTCAAAAATAATTTTCACAGCAGTTGGATACATGTTGCATGGCGTGAAGAATCATTGACTGTTTACTTTCATAGTTTTCAAGGATCCAAAGAGGAGGTCTAGGTTGAAGACACTGTATTCTGGTATCATGTCATTATAACGATCATCCAGTGGAGTCTTAAAAGGCAGGAACTTATCTGTCAATTTACAAAAAACAATAAACTCCAAGGTAATTAAATTGATTCATCTGAAAATAGATAATTTTAATAAAACAGTTCAAGAATATTGTTCACTAAAAGACATTGCTGGTTTCCGAGTTTTCCAAAAAAATGTAAGTTGTAATTTTTTAACGAATATAGGAAAGTATATTGGCATTTGTGACGTGTGAAAGTGAAGCTCATGGAATTAATGCATACATATTGTACTTGAAACATTGTGAATAAAAAAAAATCTTTTGGATACAATGCCATGAAAAAACACAATTTAGTTTCAAAAGAAATAAGAAATATACTTTAAAAAAATCAAATTTAGGCTATTTTTTAGCATACTGCCAAAATGCTATTTGACAGATACATGTATATATATACAAAGACTGGCTGTGGTGTGCTATTTACCCTTGATAAGCTTTCCTTTCCGAGGACAATTAATCCATCTTGGGGGTGGACCCAATTTCTTATTTCTATTCATAGTGGAAATTAGTTCACTGCATGCCTCTGAAATAAATCAATAGCACATATAAAATACATTGTATGTTCAATCAGAACAAACTACTACATTATTTTAAGGAATGAACTTCTGAGAATCACCAACATGTTGAAATAATGACTATCATGTATATTCAATTGACAAATCTTTAACATTAACCAGTCTGTGACTGATAATCATTTTTTTCAAAGTGGACACAATTCTTGATATATGTCCAAGAAATCACAGTTTTATTGTGTACATTAAATAACATTCATATTTACACCATATGTTTAGCTATATTCTTAGTCTGCTGTTGTTTTTAGCTAGATTCTGAACTTATTTTTGTGTTGTTGTTTTCTTTTTTTAATGTTTTAGACAATGACTTTCATAAATGTTCTTTGATGGTATAATACACAGGCTTTTTCATTCAATCATTGCAACATAATGTAGCTTAACTTTTCTTCATTACAAAAAGCTTTATTATGGAAAGACTAAGTAAAGCGTCGTGTAAGTATATTTGTGGCCTTTTCTCATTTTATAAATTTTTGATTTAAATGATCTTAATTTTGCATTGGTTTTATTTTCTGAAAAAAAGTTCCATGTAAACAGTAAATGTAAACAGTAAAGGTGATTTAAAACAAAATAAATCCAAGGCACTCACGAAGTAAAATACAATCTGCAGCTTAAAAACGTGGATTTAGAGTTCCTTGTACTTTGTGTTTATTAATTTTCATAATCAAAACATTATGTCAGTGTAATAAAATAGAACAACGTCCAAAGGTTTTCACAAATTTAGCAGAAAACAAAACTGCTAAATTCACAGAATTTTCCCGTTCTCCATCTTGTTTTAAAACTAGCCCTTTCATATGATATTTCGTAGGGATTCCGTATTTTAAAATTAAACTTATTCAAGCCAATTAATTGAAATTTCTCTCATATTTAAACAATATTTTATATAATTGATACAATATTTGTATATATAAGTTTAGACTTTACATCAACTTTTTGGATTGTGGTGTTATCCGAATTTACTTTTGTACAAGCTGACTACTAAAGATTTCAATATGGCAGCGCCCATAAATTTGTGCATGTGATGATCATGTGTAGATTTTTTACCGCAAACAACTAATTTTAAAGATTGCCGTCTCTGTGATATTTATATTTAAAGTAAATAAAGAAAATGACAAAGTGGAAGAAGAAGAAGAGATCACAAATTACAGAAAATAGCGGGAATAAGCTCAAACCAAGTCATAAAAAGAGCATGGTACAAAAATCAAAATTGAAAACAAAGTCTAATTCTAAGGAGAATGGTAACAGACTGGATGGGAAAGTTAACAAAGGTGTTAAATTCAGAGATAAGAAAAAATTCAGTAAAAGACGACCTCATAGTGAAAAGGAGGAGGAAGAGGATTTGGAAGTTGTTGGCAATAAACAACAAAAACGGATTCATGTTCAGGTACACTTCAAGTTCACTTTAACCACCCTAACAAAAATATCGATAGCGAGCGGCGCAAAGTGCTGCTCGTCACTGCAAGCTCTTAAAGCAATGCCTGGGGGAAGAGAAAATTCTGACTTTGCACATTGATCAGGTCCAGTACAATCAGTACATTTAGCTACGTAGGTAGAATTACCTACGTAGCTTTATTTACCTACCTCAGGTAGCTTTATTTAGCTATTTCAATGTAACTTTTCTTTTTATGGAAAAGAGACAAAAAATCGCAGTTAAATGACTATTGATATTTATACTAGGGTGACTTTAAAAAACATTCCAAAGCAAAGATAGTTTAAACATCGCTGTGTTTGGTCAATTTAGAGCAAAACATGTAATTCCATTGTTTGGTTATCTGTCCGTGCGGTGAGGCATGACTGAGTATGATTACTTCACATTGTGCTGAATAATTACCGACCTATTATCCTGTTAACCAGAACTGGACTTCTTTGTCATTTCATTCAAGGAGTTCTAACTGTCATACATAGCCCCAAAACTTTCAGAACTTTGATTGCAATTGCGCAGAAAAAGACACTTCTTCAAGAGGGAATTTTTCATGAATTGTTTTCAGATGAGTTCAAAGTTGAAAATGATCACTGCATCAAAATGATAGTTTTTGCACATCCTGAGAAAAATGCTTTTTTATAGAAATAAATTCATTTGGTAGCAAAAATCAAGCTACCTGAGGTAGGTAAACAAAGCTATAGGTAATTCTACCTACGTAGCTAAATGTACTGATTGTACTGGACCTGTTGATCCAAATGCTATTTTTTTTTTACAAAACGTTCTTCATTAACTTTCAGCACTGTGCAGACTCCTTTTTAGGGCTGCCACGATTAACCGAAATATTGGTTAACCGCAATTCACAATCTTTCAGTTCAATTCAGTACGTTTTTCAGGGATTTCGATTAAGTTTGAATTTTTCATACTAACATCTGATGTTGTTAAGCGCATTCTGATTGGTTAATCGAAAGAAATGATGGCAAATCATATTAAAGTAAACAAAAAACACGAAAATGGTCGCGAAGAAGTCGACGGGGGGACAACTTCCAAGTTCCATTTTCGACAGAAAGACGGCACAGAGGATAAGTGGATTTACTAAAAGGCAACACCCATCAGCCACGTAATTCTGAATCTAAAGGAACTGATACAGTGCTGCAAATTTCCTTATTTCTATTTATATTAACATCGTTTTGAAAGTGAAATTATTTACTGACATTCTTGTTATGAAGTAATGTGTTTAGGTGGTTTGATATCATATTGGCGAATCAAAAATTTTAATCACAACAGGGATCTAACCATTTTTATTGGGACAAAATAGCCTTTGTAAGCAAATCACCAATACTTTTATGTTTTAATAGCATAATATGTAATCATTGGTTTTGTTTGAAGGATTTGTTTGCATGTTTCATATTTTAAAACTAGTGACCAGTATTATTAATAATTTGGATTTCAGACATTTAATTCTTGCATCATACTTAAGTTTGTAATTAGAACATTAGGTATTTTCTTTGTTTTCTTGGTTTTACTTTCCATTTTATCTTAATAAACCTTATAAAAATATGAATCATTATTTATTAGAATGTCTTATGATCATGATGTTCAAACATTACAGATTTTTTACAAAAAATGAAAAAAAAGGTTCTATTTCTTATAATCGAATCGAAATTATTCGAAAATCGAGTTTTTTGTTTGAACCGAATTGATTTGAAAATTTTCTGATTCTTGGCAGCCCTACTCCTTTTTCATAATACAATTTACATACGTCATGTGACATCAGAGTTGAGATGGACCACATGTCACGGGTATTAGGTTCAAATCCTGATTTGATCTGTCACATTTTTCTCCTCTTCAGCAGAGTTCTTGAAATCTTTTTTTCACTGTCAGTCATTTGGACTGACTGCCATGTGAAGTTTGTCAGTCCAGACAAATTTCTATCAGTCCAAAAAATCAATAAAAAGATGAAAACTGTATTTGAATTTAATTATCAATACAGTGTGTACCCAGCGCCAATAAACACTGCACACTTCATGCCGATTTGATCGTCGTATAACAACTTACATTGAATTCTCGTGGGGTCCATTTCTTCATAAGTTTTTAATCTAGTTCAATTTTCTCACCTGGCTGACCTTAGCTCCATCTGACAACAAACTAGTTTACCAATCATAGTTTGGAACTTGCGTTCATCGAAGAAGCCATTACAAGAAACAGAAAAGCGTTTGAAAGATTACAATCGCTCAATTATAGGGAATTTGAGCAAAATTTGGTCGGATTGACGAAGTTCCTCTGTCAACACTTACCGGTCATTTGGACTGACATAGAATGCAAAGTTATCGATCCTTGGTCATTTTTATCAGTTTTGCTGACAGGACCGAAAGATTTCAAGAACTCTGCTTCTGGTACACAAAGTTTACTAAAGTGAGCCCAACAAGAGAAACTTAAAACTTGGAGTGAATAGATACTGGAAATTGTGTCTGACTAAAATTAGTGCAATATATATAGTATAATTATATGTTAAAATTTACTCAATTATAAAAAAATTAAATATATTTTGATACATTTAATATTCATCAGAATGAAACTCACCTTTACAACGTGACTAAAGAAAAATGTATAACTATAATCATGATCTCTCAGGATTCAAGATTTTGGGGGTAAAATCATATAGAATATTTGGTTGGGACTTTAAACTCATTCCAGCATATCCTTGGTATTTAAGATATTGATGTCCAAGATACTGTCATAATAAATATTTGATTATTGATAAATCTTAAACAGGAGGAGGAAAGCTCAGAATCAGATTCAGAGTTGGAAATGCAAGACACAAGGAAATGGCTGACAGAACAGAACAGAAAAAAGAAGAAATCTGGTGGATTTCAGTCCATGGGTAAATAAATTTTATTCAAACCAAACTTAGAATAGTACTATAAGTGTCTTACTTTTGGCTATGTATTTATGTCGCCCCAAACGAGGTCGGGGGTGACATACTGCGATTGTATGCATGTTTTTGTTCTCCAGGCTGTTTCTCGGAGATGGCTGGGACAATCTTCCTGAAACTTTCCTCAAAAGATGCTCACTGGTTGTAGTTTTGTTGTGTGGTCATTCTATTTCAAAATAGCTACCGTTGCCAAGGAAACGTGTGAAAAATAACGAATTTTGTCTGGAAGTGTTCTTTCTTGTCCTTTGAACATTCATCATGAAACTTTCTCATATTAATGATTAGTAATTGTAGTTGTGCGATTCGCATTTAAAATTTTCAAATAATCGATTGTTGCCATGGTAACCAGGGGAAAGTGAAAATTCTTTAACATTGATTTTAAAATCAAAGTACCGAAAGGACTGACACGAGTTGTCCAAGCTTAGCTAATGGGTATTGTTTTAGTGATGAAAACATGAAAGTCTTGTCCAGTTCGGGGCGACAATCTAGTTTTGTAAGTCCCTTTGGTAAAAAGCATCATCCACTACTTCATGTGCAATTAATGTTAAATGACGAGCACATAAACACACTGTAAACATATACCGGTATGCCACCAACTGTATACCATGTGTATCAGAATTGTTTGATTTTTCTACATGAGAATCATTTGCTTGATTATTGCAGGTCTGTCACACTCAGTTTACAAGGGTATTTTGAGAAAGGGATACAAAATACCAACACCTATACAGAGAAAGGTGAGCTACAGATATAGATTTAATAATTTTATGAGTGGTTATTGAATCAAACATTATTTTATGTTCATATTTTACCAAAATTTTGACAACCCAGATTTCTCTGCAGCTAGGGAAACTTTAGCCCCTTTATATTTGCTACTTTTGCCCTCATAGCAGTTGGACAATTTTTAACAGGGAAATAAAAAGGGAAAATTGGCATACAGGGCAAAAATATCCCTTTGAATAATAAAAGGAAACAGTCATAAAAGTTCTATATAGGAGTGGCCTGTAGATGGAATTTTCAAAATTGTAAACTACATTTTATTTTATCTATAAATGAAAATGAAAGTGAGTGAACTCTTTAACTGTTCTCTAATTCTGACTAATAACAGTGAGATTAATTTTCCTTGTTTTATGAATTACTCAATTTTTGTTTGTAGACTATTCCATTAATCATGGAGGGTAAAGATGTGGTTGCCATGGCAAGAACAGGAAGTGGAAAAACTGCGGCCTTCTTGATTCCGATGTTTGAGAAACTCAAAACCCACACAGCAAAATCTGGAGCAAGAGCTCTCATCTTATCCCCAACCAGGGAATTAGCACTACAGACTCTAAAATTTACAAAAGAGGTCAGTAACAAGTTCTTTTTAATTTTTTGAATTAATAAATCATATTTGGACCAATTTTTAGATTTGTTGTATTTGTAATTTTATAAAGTTCCT